TAGCGCTGCCCCTCAGGGTCTCCCCATCACACCCACGGTGCCCTACGTCAATCTCAGCACCCACAGATACCACATTGGAGCTGCCCCTCAGGGTCTCCCCATCACACCCACGGTGCCCTACATCAATCTCAGCACCCACAGACACCACATTGGAGCTTCCCCTTGGGGTCTCCCCACCACACCCACGGTGCCCTGCATCCATCTCAGCACCCACAGACACCACATTGGAGCTGCCCCTCGGGGTCTCCCCACCACACCCACGGTGCCCTACATCCGTCTCAGCACTCACAGACACCACATTGGAGCTGTCCTGGTCGAAGAGCTGCAGGTGGTGGAAGGAGCTGGAGAGGGCAGAGGAGTCGTGGGGGAAGACCAAGTAGAGGCGGGGGTCCTGTGGAGAGCTGGGAGAACAGGGACACACAGGAGGCCACAGGCCTTGGTGCAGCTGGCCATGCTTCTCTAGGTCTGTAGCCCCTTTCCCATCACAAAATGGTACTGCAAGGAAAGTCTCCAGACCAGACTTTTGCACTTCTGGGCCCACATGACTGACTCCGGAAGAAGCTAATGAGCAGTTTTGTTGGGGATGGGGAGATACTCTGTATGCAACAGAGACTACTACTGCTGGCCCATCAAGATGGGCCATTTCTTCCCTCCCTGCCCTCACTCAGCCTCACGCAGCCCACACTGGCCTTCAATTGTCAATCCTGCTGGCACACAGCCTTCCAACAGGGGGATAGCAGGCCTAGGCTCCTGTATCTTTTCGGGGCCTTTCTACTAAAACTGTGCTTTGCTCATTTCCCAGAGCTGCAGGCTGCATAAAGACATGCTGGCTCACCGATCCAACGCTGGCAGAGGCTTACCTGGCCAACAGCAGATAGCGGCTGAGGACCCGGAGCAAGGCTCGGGTACCCCCTCTGTGGAAGTGCAAGGCAGGCAGGGAGCCTCCAGCCTGGGTCACCAGGACCAAGTAGGCCCAACTGAGGCCTGGCTTGGACCTGCGGATGGACTTGAGCTCCCCCAGGCTCACGGAGAAGGCCCAGGAGCTCCGGGAACAGCTGGGCTCTGCACCTAGGGGAAGCAATGCATTGCTGGTGTGGTATCAACAGCGTGACAGGCCAACTCAGGGTGTCCTCTGCACAGCACAGTCTTCTGAAGTCTTGGTGGAAGCTGCCCTCTAACTCTGAGAACTCCGGCATTTCCTTAGAAGTAAACTGCCTAAGATTAGAAAGAACCCCAGTGGATATGTCTGTCCTAGAATGTCCTAGAACCTCCCCAGGCTTCTCTCGGTCTTCAGTTTCAGAACTATCTTCTTCTGTCTCTAGCCTTCTGGCTGTCTTACCTCTCTAATGCTCTCTTTGCTCCATACCCTATTTGAGCCACAACAAAAGGTTTGGGAGGCTGAGCATGGTGACACACACCTTTAACCTCAGTACTTGGTAAGAAGAGGCAGGCAGATCTCTGAGTTCAAGGTCAGCTAAGGCTACATAGTGAGACCAAGCCTCAAAAAAAAAAAAGAAGAAGAAAAGAAGAGGAGGAGGAGGAGAAGAAGGAGAAGAAGGAGAAGAAGAAGAAGAAGAAGAAGAAGAAGAAGAAGAAGAAGAAGAAGAAGAAGAAGAA